GGTTGCAGGAACTGGGTATGTCTAGTTTAATGAAAAGAAGGACTAGGGGGAGACATGATAGCAGCCTTCCAATATCTCAGTGGCTGCCCCAAAGAAGAGGGAGTCAACCTATTCTCCAAAACTACCTGAGGGCAGGACAAGAAGCAATGGGTGGAAACTAATCAAGGAGAGAAGCAACTTAGAATTGAGGAGAAATTTCCTGAGAGTTAGAACTAAGGAGAAATTTCCCGGCAGTGAGAACAATTAATCAGTGGAATAATGTGCCTCCAGAAGTTGTGAATGCCCCAACACTGGAAGTCTTTAAGAAGATGTTGGATAGCCATCTGTCTCAAATGGTATAGGGTTTCCTGCCTAGGCAGTGGGTTGGATTAGAAGACCTCCAAGGTCCCTTCCAACATTCTGTTTTATTTTGAGTTGTCTTTTAGTCTTGTCTTTCAAAAGCAAAACTTTAGCCTAGAGATGTATTTACTTCCTCTCGGCCTTACTAGAGGTTGTGCTTACAACTGGAGACCGATTCTCCCTTGGAAGATGGAACGGTTCCCCTTTCCGAACTACTATTCACGTTTTGTTCCTTGCCCTTCTCCTTAGGGTTTTTTCAGGAGAACCATCCGGCTGAAACTGATTTACGACCGATGTGATCGCAACTGCAAAATCCAGAAGAAGAACCGTAACAAGTGCCAATACTGTCGTTTTCAGAAGTGCCTTTCCGTTGGGATGTCCCATAATGGTAGGTAAGGGTATCCGTCAGTTCTGTACGGGCCAGCTGAGATCCTCTCTCTAGGGGCAAGGCGGAAGGAGCCGGATCCATCCATGCTGTCATAGTCTCCTCTTGCCATTTTTTCTGGTAAGGGGAACTCAGTACACATGCAACGATGCCCTTCCACAAACATTTTTTGCAACCTTTGGTTAATAGGTAACTGTGCGCAAATGTTATACATTAACGTATATGTAATGGCATTTTGTTTAGTACTCTTTCCTTCCATTTACGTTCTTTGAACAGAGCAAAGCACTATGCTGATAGTCCAAAGGTCAGGTAGATGCTTTTTCCTTTTTAATTGAGCAATTGCAAAGCTTGATATGGAATTAAATCCTTGCTGTGTCATGACCTAGCAACAGCAACTAAATCCCAGCTGGCCTTGAGCCACCTCTTGAGTGCAGGCAGGGAAAGGTCTGAGGACATCTACCAGATGGGTTAATCATTCTGTTTTTCCTTCCTCGAGATACTTCTGTGTACAAATAGGTGCAGCTTATTTTTGGTCTCTTGGTTGCCCTGGTCTGTAAAAACTGGATATAGATATTGATATAGAGATAGAGATAGAGATAGAGATAGAGATAGAGATAGAGATAGAGATAGATAGATAGATAGATAGATAGATAGATAGATATAGATATAGATATAGATATAGATATAGATATATATATATATATATATATAGAGAGAGATAGATAGATAGATAGATAGATAGATGA